TTTATTAAACGCCGTTCGAAAATCCCTTTTTCCATCGCGCCGCAACGAAGTGAGGCGTTCAGATGTCATTTTTATTCATACCGAAACGCTCCGATCTCGTTCCGTTATCCCCGAACAATTTCCAACCGGATTATTTCCGTACGGAGCGCCGTTCTCCGTTAATAAAATACAGCTGACGAAACTGTCGCGTCCCCGTAAATTTCGTTCGCCTCGCGCGTTCTACCGAATCAACGAATTATTTCTACATTTTTCCCGCGGCACATGTTACACCTGTAACCTAACGTTAATGCTCACGCGAGGAGTCGGCTAATGGCGCAGAAGGACACACGTTCAACGCCGAAACGGAAAAGAAGCTCGTTGCACGCGGAGATACGGCGTACACTTGTTTCGGCGCGACTTATTGAAAAGCAAGTTGCACGAGCAACTGTTTGTTTTATTAACTGTTTTCGTCGTCGGTGCCTCTAACGGTGTCCAGGAAACGAGCAGCGCGTGCAACTGGGCCTCTCCCGGGGCACGAACCGAGAAGTTTATACACGTGCGTATGTATTTTCCTCGATTTAAGATCGCCCCCCGTCATCCGTCGAATCTTGCACCAGAAGGTAAAACCTCGTCGAATTCCTCGATTATTTAATTAAGCGCCCGGTAATGGAAAGGCGGCCGATCGTGAAGCACAGGATATTACAATCGATGAAACGCGTCCGCTCCCCCCTGCCCTCGAGCTTTTCCAATCTTATTTAGCGACGAAACTTGCGAAACTCGTTCGATTTCGACCTCGTCCTCCGGCTGTATTTAATTAATATTTTCGTCGAGCGAAACGACGATTTTCTGCTCGAAAGCACTGCAAATGCAGTCCGCGACTCGATAGTTTATTCTTAGGAAAAATAAAATGGATTTCTCTTGTAAAGTACACACACAGTTTCTTTGTATGGTCACGAAACATTGTACGAGGAATAAACGAATCACTTATCGACGCGCCGAGACGACATTTCAACTCGCAATATTTTTGATCGTCGTCAAGTTTCGTTTCTTTAAATATTTATTACACGGTAACAGAAGGGAATTTCAATTTTGAAGTTTCGTCGACACTGTAAGGGGACACGATTATCACACGATCGTGCTGATCAAGCTCGAAACAAATCTAAAACTGCATATAGAGACAAGACGCGATGCTCGTATAATACTGGACGAGAGCAACGAGCAGACGTTACGCTAATGCACACCTCGATAGAATTAATGTCACGTTGGTCACGCTGGTGTCTTGTGTCAATGATTAATAATTCTAAACATCCACCCGTTCAAATGACTGTGACGTTAAGGATGAAAAATAGACGATCGTCTACCGGCGAAATATCCGGCAATAGTTTGCCCGCGCAACAATACGCCGTAAAGGAGACAACGAAAAAAGAAGAAAAAAAAAAAAAAAAAAAAAGAAGAAAAAGGAAAAGAAAAATGCAAAGATTCGAGAGGATCGAGAAAAAGGAGTTTGAAAATTTTTTCACTTCGATTTGAGAAAATTTTTTTCCCCTCGTCCATCTAATGAAGATTCGAATTGATCGGACAAGATGATAAACACAGTCAAAGTTACTCGAAGAGATCTAAGATAATTCTAACGTCAAATAATATTGCAAGTTGAAGACTCGAGAGGATCAAGAAAGGAATTTTTGGGAATTTTTTCACTTCACGTTTTGAGAAAATCTCGCAACTCTTTCATTCATTTTCCTCGTCCAAACTATAAAGATTCGAATTGATCGGACAAGAGGATAAAGACAGCGAAAGTTACACTCGAAGAGATCTAAAATAATTCTAATATTAGGTATTGCAATATTCAAATTTGGTTTCGTCGTTACCCAATGTTAAGTTTAATCCGCTTGACGGGTTATTAATAGAGGACAAGTTTCGGTTTAGATTTACTTCCGTGAGAGGATCACCGCGTGAATGATTAATCGTCGAGACAGCTACGTCTTTATAAATAATCTCGATCGCTTTAAATGAACAATTTTTATGTCGAGTCCGAAACGACGAGAATAAGCGAAATTCTGTTCGGGATTGGAGAGTTTCACTTTCGAGAGATTCGTAGATTCAGAATTAAAAATCGTCGAGGATCGAGGGGCGACGTTCGACAAAACGTAGCGATGAAACGAAGGAATTTGGGTGCGTTCATAATTGACGGAATCTTCGACCTTGTTCCACTCGCCCCGAAATCACCTGCATAAATGATACACGCGTTATAACTTGCCTCGCGTGAACGAAGGATCCACGAAAAACAAAAAAAAAAAAAAGAAAAAAAATAACAATAAACGACAACCACGATTCTAAAAATATCTGCGTTTTCTGCAAGTCGAAAGCGATATTGGTGCAATTTGGTATTTTCCTAACTTTCCAACAACAAAAAAAAAAAAGAAAAATGTAATTTGTTACACCGCGAAGAGCTACCTGCCATTTCGATGCGTTAGCCTACAAGGTCATTCGTCAAGATATCGTAGATATGAAGAAAGCAGAGTATCGTTACACCGTGAAATTTTCAAACATGTAAATAAATCAAATTATTCAAGCAAAAGGCATGTATGAAATAATTAAAAAGTTTAATTTTCAGTCATCGAATTACTTGACGAAGTAATTCGGAATAGAAATTTATACGCGCGTGAAACGATGTCTTATAAATAGTACGTGTAGATAGCTACATTTATATTAAAGTTAAATAGTATATATACAGATATATCCAAATTCAAGAGATTACGCATAGAATATGCCGATAACACGAAACATGAAAATATTCCATCGTGAATTATGGCGTCGCATGTTTCTGGATAGACTGGTCGCGTCGATTCGTGAAAATAAATCTTTGTCGAACAAAATTACACAATTGTTTCCTTTTCTGTTTCACGAATGGAAGTTGAATTTAACTTACAACAACGAACGATTTTGCTGAACTAGAGAGGAAGTATGGAATATCGATGAAATTATAGAAAAGTGAATTGTTTTCGATTTTTGTTTATGTCAATAAATAACGTCAATAATAATTATGTATTATTTAGTAACACGTCGAATTCAGCTTGGTCGTGTTGTTCTACTGAATGAAAGATTAAATCGCGTGCTCAGCACAGAAACAGTCAGTTTGTGTGTTTGCATTCATTTAAATTAAATAGATCAATAATAAATAATAATAATAATAATAACAACAACAACAACAACAACAACACATGTGTATGATGAACGATAGATTATATCGTCTTAATTTCATTGCAAAATAATAAAATATGTCTTTTACGTAATTTTCGAGTACAATCACGCACATGTGTACATATATACGTTCCTCGTTGCGTTGTTTTTTATTTTCGATTGAAACGAACCTATCGACACCTTCGCAGATTATCAGCTTTACAACGTAGATTAAATGTTTCGACGTTGGCGTCTCCTATTAATAAAAACCGGATACTTCGAGATCGATGGAAAGATGGCCCAAATGTTAACGATCATTCGCAATCGAGCTGGACATTTATCTTATCGATCACTCGGATCGACCATTCTTATCGAAAAGCCGACTACTGTTCGCGGTACAAAAATTTCAACCTGACCCGATATTAGAGGAAACTCGCGATAGCAACTGAACTATCATTGTTCACAGCTTTTTATCTAGGTATATATATATATATATGTTAAAACTATGGGTTTTCTTTTTCATCAATTTTTCAGAAAAGAAACACTGCGAAATTTCATTTCTCTCGCGGCGTTGAAGAGAAATAAATTCCCTCGTGTGAATTTCGACAAAATTTTCTGCGAGAATACGCGATCAAGGTTTAAATTTATGGATCCAGATACTGCTTTTTTTATTTTTTCTTTTTTCATTTACAGATAGTACAATCTTCACGTGAATAACGTTAACCTTCTGCAACGAATTGCATCAGATGTTCCTGCCGCTTTCAAATAGGCGGCCGAAACGTTTCAAAACAGTGTCTAGAGTCGCGCGGAATAACGATAGAGTCGTTACCTAACTTTGAGAGAATTCCTACGGGCACTCGAGGAATACGATAACGCGACACGTGACAGATACAACGAGTGGCGAATCGAAAATAAACTTTGGATCGCGAGGGAGAATAAAACAAAATTGCTCATTGTTTGCTGCACCGCCGGTCAGATTAAAATTGATAGTTAAATTGAATTTGCTTGTAACCAATATCCATCGATGATTTTGAAAATATAAATACGATCGATATTATAAATTGCTGCCTGTTTGTATTAAAATTCTCCTCGTGCGCAGGAATGACGCACGTCGAGAATTTTTTTCGTCCCAAAATTGCAATATTTTCTCAGGTATATTTCAGCGAAACAAATAATAAATTTATTCTCAATAATTTTTCTATCCAGTGATATCACAACGACGAGTTCAAAAAGAAAGCGACAAATTGTTGTATACGGTTCGGTCCGCAATCAATTGCCATGGTTAATAATATATATATATATATATAATATATATAAATATATAAATAATATAATATATATAAATAATATAATATATAATATATATAAATAATAATATATATAAATTTTGCAGCTTTGGAACAGTAATTTACTCTATTACATTAATATTAAAACAAAATTTTCAATTCAAGTTATATATATAGTTCCCAGTAACATTACATCAAAACTAACAAAATTAGCTTCCAAACATTCCTGTTTGCGTCACCAACTCGGAGAACACGACGCGCAACGAAATCTTCAGCCTTAACTTAATATTCATCGTTCCAAGTAACGTTACACGAAAAAAATTAGCCATTAGACATCCCAGAGAACAACAGCCAGGCAAAAATTGTCGCCGACGACAAGAGTCCTCCAGAATCGGTTCAACTCTGGGACCAAGGCGAACAGAGACTAGAATCCGCCAAGTTGAATCGAACGTCGATCTCGAGACCAGACTTGGATCACGGACGAAACTCCTCGGCGCAAAAGAACAGAAAAGAAAAAAAAGAAAGAAACAAGAAAAAGGTGGAAGGAATCCTTACCTTCCAAGTTCTTGTTCCTGGCGAGAAGGGCCAAGAGGACGTCCTGGTTGGGCGCAGCCTCGGCCAGATCGGCGGCGTCCTGATGGGAAGGCGGCAACGACGGGCCCAGGGATGGGATGGCGGTGGCCGGCGGCCGCGGCATCATCACCGGCGCCGACGAGCCCAACGGCGGCAACGCCAGTCCCCCGGGTGTATGGTGGAGCGGGTTGTGCGGCGGCGGACCGCTACTCGGCAGCGTCGATAGCGTGGCGATCGGCTGCACCGCCGCCGACATGGACAGATCGACGCCACCCAACAGCACCGGACGACACCCTCCTGAACCGGGCCCGCTGCTCACCGCCGGGAGGATCCCGCCGCCCCCCGGCAGTGGTGCGTACGGCAAGTACAGCTCCAGTATAAACCGGCGAAGAGTGTCGCGGCAACACCGGATGACTCGCGCCCCCCGATTTTACACCGTGTTGATCGTCCGTGTCGATCGTCCCAGTCGATTTCAATCACGTCGCGAGGATACCTTCCCTCTTGGCATCCGGTGACAGTCGGCGACAGTCGGTGACAGTCTTCTTTCAAAAGTTCCCCTTTCCTCTCACGGGGATCAGACTGGGAGAAGATGTGGAGACTTGGTATCACTGACGAAACTTGATCGGCCACACGCACCGAATCTCGTTTTCACTCGACCGGAATATATTCACTCGGGGTTCGGCGCTCATTCTCCACTTTCCGCTTGCCGGATGCCAGCCGAAGCGGAGGAGTCGCCTGACACCTCGTTAATAACCGAGCGAACGATCGTTTTTTTATCGATCCGATCGTTCAAAGTTCCGTCGTAATCTCAACGCCCCGGCGGCGTTGTCACGGAGCAGACATCGATGAAGCGATCGAACGATCGAGAGCGGCTCTCTCTACTATCCGTCTCACCTTCCGATGACTTTTTGGCCGATCCGTTTGGTCGTTTACGAACGAGTTCCGCTTGCACGATCGGTTCAACGATCGCGTATCACACGCATAGACGCGCCTCTCTCTGCGAATCACTGTCGTCGCGTGACGAATCAGACGCTTACGAATGTTTACGGGCCGATTGTAACGACTTGTTTGTAAATAATTCTGATCAACAGGTCAGGCTCTTGTTCGTGAGAATGTCGATCAGAATCGACCACGCGTCGATATCACGATCGGTAATGATCGTCGTTTGTTAAATCGTTTCGCGGAAAACTGTCACTTGGACGATCGTGGCGGGGCACGACACCGGGCGCCGGATGATCGACATCACTGGAATTCCCCGGCTGGATTTTTGCGCTCGCCGATCGAGTCTGGCGAGGTCCGATCGTACCCAAAGTCAACCGCGCACTCGTTGCGTCCCTGCCGCGATCTGGACGCCCAGAGCGACGGTCCACCGGTCTTATCGGGCTGTCCACGAGCCTCGGTTTATCTCGACCATAACCTTGGCTATGCTACTCCGATCGCGGCACTTCTACTTTGTAGAACTTGGTCGACACTTGGCCGCCGACTCTCCTCTTCTTCTGTCGCTCGCTTCCCACGACACTGCGACTATATTATCGGCGAACTTGGCGAGGCTCGCATCGGCAATTCACATCACGACGCGTTCGAACGCCGCCCCGTAATATATCTGTGTGCAACGATCTCGAAAATCTCCAAGAGGCGCAACCTTCGATTCGACGATTCTCCCTCAATTCGTTTCAATTCGACGAGCTTTCGAGAACCGATGATGATCCAACTGCGCCTCTAAAGGCGATGGCCTTTTTACGCCTCGCGTTCCGATTCTAATGCCCGGGAAGTCCGAAGAAGGCGCGGTCGAAACGAAACGCGAGTCCTCCTCGCGTCCCTCGGTTCCTACCGGAACGACGAGTACGCCGATGATCGACGAAGATCGACGAAAGATCGGTACGAAAGACCGACGCCGACGAAAGAACACCACGACAAGGAGGTTTCTATCCTCTCTCTAATCTGGCGGAGTCTCGAGCCTCGAGCCCCGAGCCTCGAGCTTCGTTCGCCTTTGATCAACGGCCGGGCGGCCGTGCGGTTTTTACACGCGTGTCGATGGAAATCGGGCGGACGGGGCAGCCCGATGTAAATGCCCGGAGATGCCGATAGAGAGAAAAACCCAATGAATCACGACGTAGCGGCGATAGTTTCGGCCGCGGGCCCCCTTTTCGTGCGTGGCACGGCGAGCCGAAATGCGAGTCCGCGCCGCGGCGACCGGTAAGAAACGGCGAATTCCACCGGCGTTGAATCGCGATTTTCGTCCCTGCCACGTTCTGCTCTTGTCCCTTTTTCCCCTCCCCCCCGCTGGTATCGGCCGCACCGAACCCACTTTTGTCTCCAGTTTGTCATCGGCCTGCGACACACCGCTCCATTCACCCGACGACCATCATCATCATCCAATACGATACTCCTTCCTCTCTACCCCCCTGCTGCGTTTCGGCTCGCTATCGTCCGATTTTTCTTCGGAATCCCACGAATTCCGCTCGGCGGCCGATCTTTCGCGTCGAGCCGCTGTTGTTGTTGTTGTTGTTGTTTCTGCTGCTGCTGCTGCTGTTGTCGTCGCTGTCCTTTTACGCTGTCTGCCGCGGAGGCTTCGCCGGCCGTAAAAGGTGCACCGATCGCTTCACTTGCCGCGGCGAACGACGAGCGTGGCACCCGATACCGCGCAACGTTCCACGAAGTTGACGATTCCGCAACGTTCTGCATTTAACTCGCCGATCTTGTCCGGTTTCTTTCGTCCACCTCATCGGCGATCGCTCGACTCCATGAGCCTCGTCGTCCACATCCTCGTACGCGACGATACGTAACGTTGATTTCCACCGATCTGACCGGTATTCTCGCGATACAGCGTCAACGATATAGCGTTCGACTCGATTGGGGAAACGTCACACTGCCGCGAGATCTCGGGAATGTGCGATTTGATTAGCGGGTAGCGCGGCACTATGGAGCCGGTTCCGCGGGGTTCCTGGCTTCGACCGTCGAGGATCAGAAAGGCTGGTGGGACCCGGAGGGAACATGGAGGGACGCACAGACAGGTAGAGGTGGCTCTGAACGTTCTGTAGAAAGGTTCTGTGTGTGCATCGCCCTGACGGAGGAGAGGTTTCCACCCTACCATCGGCGGCCACCACCGAGCACGTCTCGCACCAGCTCGCACCCGAAATGGGGGGAAAAACCCCTGGTGGGGCATCGATGTTGGCACGCTTGCGCCGCAACCCCTGTCTCCCTCGTGCGAGAAACCGCCGCGTCCCAGCTACAAGATTTCGGAATGATTTGCGGTACATGCGACCGAATCGAATGGAAAGTCGAACGTGAAAACCCGATCCGATGTTTACACGCTCGGGGAATCTTCGCGAATCGGGCGAAGTCGCGTACGCCCGTCTTCTTGGCGGAGTTTCAGCAAACGATGCTCAAAGGTGGTAAAAGGTGTCGTTAAATTCACACTGGAGATAGATTCAAGTTACATTAAGTATGTTCATTGCACTTGACTGCTCTAGCCAGCAGCTAGCAGCTCCCGCTTTTTATAATTTGCTGATAAGATATAACAAACGTGTATATTTGGTGAATTATTATACTGTAATTAATATATTACAATAGTATAATATAGTATAATACTGTGGTAGTATAATATAACAGTATATTAATAGTATACTAGTATACTATACTACTATTGTAGTATACTAGTAAGATACTAGTTAAGATAATAGTATAATAGTATCTTAACAGTATACTATTGTAATATACTATGTTAGTATGATAGTATATTAATAGTATACCATTATACTATTATAGTAGTATATTAATAGTATACTATTGTAGTATTAATTATATATATTAATAGTATACTATTAGTATAATAGTATCTTAATAGTATATTACTGTAGTATACTAATAAGATGATACTTAAGATAATAGTATAATACTACCTTAATAGTATACTAGTGTAATATACTACAATAGTATAATAGTATAATAGTTTATTGTAGTATACTAGTAAGATACTTGTTAAGATAATAGTATAATAGTATCTTAATAGTATAATGTTGTAATATACTATAGTAGTATAATAGTAAATTAATAGTGTACTATCATAGTATACTATAGTAGTATAATAATAAATTAATAGTATACTATAGTAGTATAATAGTAAATTAATAGTATACTATAGTAGTATAATAGTAAATTAATAGTATAATAGTATCTTAATAGTATACTATTGTAATATACTAGTAAGATACTAGTTAAGATAATACCATCTTAATAGTATACTAGTGTAATATACTACAATAGTATAATAGTATCTTAATAGTATAATATTGTAGTATAGTATTAAGATACTAGTTAGGATAATAGTATAATAGTATATTAATAGTATATTCTATAATAGTATAATAGTATCTTAATTGTATACTGCAGTAGTATAATAGTATATTAAATTTCATATCATCTAATGAAATACTTTCACACAACTACGAAAAATTTGATATATCGCGAGATATCCCGTGTGAATACCGATAAAAAGAAATATATCTATAGCCATTGTAGTTACTTAATTTATCGAAAATTGGAGCAAAACTTTTTCATTTCCAGTAGTATATATTCCAATTGAGAAATCATAATCTCATTCGAACGAAGAGTGTAATCCAATTCAACGTCGTCGATCAAAATTTCGACGACTTTCTAAAATTCATTGAACGTCCCGTTCCATCCTTCGAGCGCTGAACTTCCCATTCACAGGCGTCCATTTTTATTAACGGATAGCTCGTCCAGGAATACCCAGATCTAATTAGAGAAAGGCGAGATTTTTCGTTCACCAGATTGAAGCAGAATCGAAAAATCAAGTCAGAATCCGCATCGCGGATATGAATTATTTTTACGCCATTCCCAGAGATTCAACGGTCGCATGAATAGGTAATGCAAATTCAGCGGCCGCGACTTCTCGCGCCGGTGAAGACTTTTCTTCTTTCTGTTTTGTCGTCTACGGAGAGAAGAAATTTTCATCAATGAAGCGGGCTACGACAATAACAGCTGTGAATAAGCGACCAGTTCGATTCTTTCATCGAACAAAAGACGTCCTTCCGCTCGCGAGGGCGGAAAATCTTCAGGCGTCTCTGCCGTCGTTGGGAAACGATGGAAATAAATGACAGACACGGGAAGGGAAAGTTTCGCGATGTTTCGTGGATGTGTCGCGAAGCTGACGCGAAGAAGAAGCGGGACGAAGTGTGTAGCATCGTACTAATCAAGACCGATGGTCAATAATGGCGGCCACGGGCTGGTCGTATTCAAGTCCAACCTACCCTTGGTGTGTCGGGCGTGCATCGGGGGTGGTTTAAGCCGACACTTCGTCCCTCTGAAGTCTTGAGCTTGGCCGTAGACCGAGAACGAGACGTGTTTTTATTGTACTTGGGTGAATCACTGCCGCGGGCCACTCTCGTATGACATGTATTATTCATTC